CCATTTCTCAATGGAGTGAGTCACAGGTACTTCCTGTTTGAGTTTCTGCTTGTAAACAGGAAGCAGGAGTACGGAGTCATGATCTGATTTGCCGAATGGCGGACGAAGGAGGGCCTTGTATGCTTGCTTGTGGGTAGAATAACAGTGATCAAGGACTTTATCACCCCTAGTGGCGTTGGAGACGTGTTGATAGAAGTTGGGCATCATGTGTCTTAGTGATGCGGAATTAAAATCGCCAGCAACCAGAAAAGCAGCCTCTGGATGTAGGTTTTCCTGCTTGTTTATAGCCTTGTACAGTTCGATAAGTGCCAGCTTGTTATTTTTCTTATCCTGAGGTGGAGTGTATACAACAGTCACAATAATAGCTGAAAACTTCCTCGGGAGGTAGAAGGGTTGGCATTTGACCATCAGGTATTCCAAGACGGGTGAACAGTGGGTCGACACTTCCACCGCGCTGGACTTAGCACACCAGTTGGAGTTGATGTAGAGGCAAACCCCTCCCCCCCTCAATTTCCCCGACTCCACTGTCCTGTCCGCCTGGTGAATGGAGAATCCATCGAGTTGGATAGCCATGTGGGGTATCTTGTCCAAGAGCTGTTTCAGAAAAGCAAATAATATTGCAGTTTCGGCGGACATCCAGTATGGTGCCCTGTAAGGTCTGTGGATGACGAATCAGGAAGGAGTGCCCTGTCAGATCAGGCCTAATGTCAGAACCCATAACCAAATCTGGTGCTAGCTAGCTACTGTGTGAAAGTCTGTCACGAGAGATTAGATGAAGCCTGACCAGGACACCAGACACATCGGTCTTTGAAAAGACAAAAGGAGGGTAGTGAATTGCATAAGCACCCCATGCCTGCTTTAGAGATATGATATGGCCAATGGCTATACTTTTACTTTTAGTATATGCTTCCGTGTTTTAATGTATGTAAGTATGTAGTGACGGCTTGCTCACTAGACTCATCGTGCCGTTGTTTGAGACTTTGTTTGAGACCCTTTGAGTTGCTTTGGGCAAAAAGGCCCAAACAAAACAATGCATCTATAGATTCCAGCCCCAAATATTTTCCCTTGTTGGGTGAATCAAGGGCACGGAGCAGAATATGCGATAGACATTCGTGCATATGTTGTGTGTCAAACTTTTACCCCCCATCCCCCACCCCACCCCCACCCCCATCCAGTCTGTCTCCCAAAGTTCCACAGAGTTGTGTGTGGAGCGGGTGGTGTCAGCTCGCTCCTTGCCACTCCATTTGCTGTAGCTGTACTGCTGTGATCACAGACAGACGTATAAATCAAACCTAGCTTGATGGATTCATCAGGGCAACGAAACGATCGCCTCAGAAGAGCGCCGGAGCTCTCTGAGCATCGTGCTTCTGACAGAAAGGGTATGCAAAGAGCCTAAATGGATGAACGGTTGATTAATTCTTTGCCAGAGATGTTGTCGACAGCAGGAAATGTGTTTTGCTTTGACTGTGTTTGCATGGGAATTTACGCGCGCGGGGCGTGAGTTATGGAGCACAAGTTTATACCTAAGGCTATTCTGCATAATGATGGCAGGTTGGAGAACTTGGAGGAGCCACTAAAGACTCGCTACCTGTGGCGCAAACACAACTAGAGGGAGGGAGAGAGGGAGAGAGGGAGAGAGGGAGAGAGGGAGAGAGAGAGGGAGAGAGGGAGAGAGAGAGAGAGGGAGGGGAGAGAGGGAGAGAGGGAGAGAGGGAGAGAGAGAGAGAGAGAGAGAGAGAGAGAGATGGATATAATAGACTAGAGAATAAAGGGAAGCTAAGAGGCAGAGAATCTGAGAAGAAGGAAGTGAGTTGAACATGGAGAAGGAACAAATTATCAAGAGAGAGAAAGAAAGAAAGGCATTAGCTATGTATGGCTTTACCTCCCATGTTCATCTTGTTAATCTAGTTACATTGACCAAAATATTCATTATTTACAATGATATATGATTAGTATTCAAGGGTTTTATTTAGACATCTTTGATCCTTTACATGAGTGGGGTGGGGTAAGGGGAGGAAAGCAAGAGGCTCATACAGTAGTTTGAATAGGTGGAATAACTGGGAAGGTGGGAGTGAATCTTTATGGGGGAAGAGCTCTTTAGAAGTAACTCAGACGTAGATAGAAAGTTTAGAAAGGACTCCCGAGTGGCGCAGCGGTCTAAGACACTGCACGCAGTGCTAGAGGCATCACTACAGACCCTGGTTTGATCCCGGGCTGTATCACAACTGGCTGTGATCGGGAGTCCCATAGGGCGGCGCACAATTGGCCCAGTGTTGTCCGGGTTAGGGGAGGGTTTGGCCGGGGGGGGGCTTTACTTGACTCATCGTGCTCTAGTGACTCCTTGAGGTGGGCTGGGTGCCTGCAAGCTGACCTCGGTTGTCAGGTGAACGGTGTTTCCTCTGACACATTGGTGCGGCTGGCTTCTGGGTTAAGCATGACTTGACCTTCGCCTCCTGAGCCCGTTGGGGAATTGCAGCGATGAGAAAAATGCTTTATTGTTAAAACATTCTTAGCCTGTCTATCTATTGGTAACAGGGTTGACATGTTATGCTCGACGCGCTCAGTTTTCCACCACAAAACACCTGAAAATTGCCAAAAAGAGTAGAGCCGGCTCACCTGCGTTTACACAATGATTTGACTATTATATGTTCAATATTTTGAGCGTTCAGTTCACGTAACAGGGTTGATCTTCAAATGAGGGACAGATTTAAATTAATCACATGAAATAAATAATCATCTTCAGAAGTGACTTTGTCAAAGCAATAACATAACTAGGGCTTTACAATGATGGTGAAAACATTGAGACATTTTGGGGTTATGTGGGTTAAAATCTTCCTAGAAGTCGGAAAAACATGACGAGGGACATATAAAAATGCAACTTTTTTATTCATATAAAACGTTTTATTTATAAATATATAATGTGTGTTCAGAGCACTTTATGTAATATAACAGGCTTTTAAATTTCAGTATTGGTGCACATTTTCTACTTAAAATATCAAAGTGAAATTGTAGCTGATGATTTGGGGATGTTGGGGGGCGGGCATGGGGGGGGATGTGGCTTGTAGTTGACTCGCGTTACAAACAAATGGTAGACAGACTGTGGCTCTGCGTGTTATCTGAAAGATTTGTGCTTCACTTTCTCTCTGTGTTTTCCTGTGTGTGTGTGTGTGTGTGTGTGTGTGTGTGTGTGTGTGTGTGTGTGTGTGTGTGTGTGTGTGTGTGTGTGTGTGTGTGTGTGTGTGTGCGTGTGACCAATGTGTGTGCACATATCGGTATCACTGTTTGTATAATTGTATTCATGAGTGGACTGTGGACATATAATATACAGTATGCGTGGGCACTTGTGCGTGTGCACGTGTGTGTTCATATAAAGTATGTGTTCGCGCATTTGTGTGTGTGTCCTTGGTGTGTGTGTGCTTTTGCCTGTGTGAGTGAGTGAATATGTGTGTTTTTAACAAAGCTGGGGAGGCCTCATTGCACTCATCAGGATATCGCTGGTAAAAAATGACTGTGTCGGCGGGGTGACAGTTGTGTGTGAGCAGATTGATGGGGCTCTCCCTGACAGTAGCCATATTGTGCATGTGGCCCTCATCCACGCAGGTTAATATTGACTCAGCCTGGGCAACACCATGCCTACAGCAGCCATCCATCAATACTACTGGGCGTTCGCACACCACACAGGCACAGGCACAGGCACGGACCACACAACTCATGACACACGCTCGCATACACACACACACACTCTCAGGCGTGCACACACGCACTTGCACAAACACGCACACACACATATACATAAGCACACACACGCATATCTCTTATAGCCTATAGCCTTGAATGGTGTATACGAAGATGACAGAGATGCAAAGAGATAGGAGTCATTGATAAAACCCTGGACTTAGTATGCCAACCTCTTGTTATACATGTAGATATCCACCGTTGCCTCTGCACATGTGCATTAGCTAGTCACTTCCTATACTGTGTTACAATAGTTTTAAATAATTTTTATAAACTGCTTCCTGTGTCTCAGGACACATTATAACAGTCTCTCTCCAGTCTAAGTTGTAATGCCAGACTGAGTGAACAAGTTTCTTTACACATATCTTTCATGCAATTACAATATGCTTTTAAACAATACTTATTTAAACAATATTAGCTATTTTTCGAATTTCTAGTCAATTCATGTAATCTTTTTGTCTTTATATTTGATATGAAGTTGTGTTTTTTTATTTGTTGACAATTTCCCTGTATTATTCAAAGTTATATTGACATGTAGTTTTTAAATTTTTTTCCAGGGATGTTATCTAAAAGAATACAAGTATGTTAACTTGTACGCCATTGAAAAAACAAACAACCATCATACAACAAATGTAGTGATTAATCTCGCTATTTGTTTTAAACTGTAACACTTTCACACTTTTTTTCATAAACATTGTCTTAGAAATTAGGGATGCCATAGCGTTGTTGTTAATCATTGAAGAGAAAAAAAACATAGATGGAAAAAAACAAGCTTTCTTGACAAACAAAACCATTAATTAATGCAACTTTCTCTCCATCAATCACCGGGGCTGTCAGAGAATTACCATAATCTGGGAATGTTGGATGTGTTAAGAGCAAACAGTTAATTTCCAAACGATAAATCATAAAATGTCTCTTTACCCCTCTCTGTGCCCTGACGGCTTCGTCTCTCATCAAAATAGACAAAGGCATTCTTAAAAACACTTTTGACTCGATGCACAAAATGAGACGGGACCAAAAAGTTTTTATATTAGTTTAAGTGGAGGTCGTTTTTTTAAGTGGCATAAAATGGTGACAAAGTCAATACCTCAAATAAATTTTAGGACAAAGTCAATACCTCGAGTAGACCATAACTTTAAAACTCTGAATATGCTATACATACTGTATATGTAAATATAAATGAAAATAAGAGTATCTATCAAAATCAAAATATATCAGATAAGAAACCTAACACATGTCTTTGTTGTTTTCATATGACCACCTAGGACTGGAATGCTCGCCATGGCCTGGTTGGGCAGTTGAAGTCATTCTGTCATCACCATAGTTATGAGAGTCTAGTCATAGTCTCATCTCGCCAAAGTGACCCTCGCCATCCATGCCAGCAGGTGGCAGTGTACTCGGACAACTCTGACATTCTCAATCAGGTATGTGTTCTTTTACATCAGGCATAGTGAGATAGACACCACAGGAGGTTGGTGGCACCTTAATTGGGCAGAACGGGATAGTGGTAATGGCTGGAGTGGAATAATTGGAATGGTATCAAATACATCAAACACATGGTTTCCATGCTCCATTCCGGCCGTTATTATGAGCCGTTCTGCCCTCAGCAGCCTCCTGTGATAGACACATCACCTAGTACACACATCACGTAGTAGAGACATATACACACATCACATAGTAGAGACATATACACACATCCCCTAGTAGAGACATACAGTGCCTTCAGAAAGCACTCATACCCCTTGACGTATTCCACATTTTGTTGTGTTACAGCCTGAATTCAAAATGGATTAAACTGATATTTTTTTCTCACCCATCTACACACAATACCCCATAATGACAAAGTGAAAACATGTTTTTAGACATTTTTGCAAATTCATTCAAAATGAAATACAGAAATATCTATTTTGCATAAGTATTCACACCCCTTTGCTATGACACTCCAAATTGAGCTCAGGTGCATCCAATTTCTTTTGGTCATCCTTGATCACTACAAATTCATTGGAGTTCAATTGTTTGGACATGATTTAGAAAGAAACACACCTGTCTATATAAGGTCCCACAGTTGACAGTGCATATCAGAGCAGAAACTATACCATGACGTCTAAGGAACTGTCCGTAGAGCTCTGAGATTGTAACGAGGCATATATCTGGGGAAGGGTCTAAAACAATTTCTAGAGTATTGAAAGTGTCCAAGAGCACAGTGGTCTCCATCATTGGGAAATTGAAAAAATATGGAACTACCCAGACACTGCCTAGAGCTGGCCGTCCGGCCAAACTGAGCAACCAGGCAAGAAGGACCTTGGTCAGGGAGGTGACCAAGAACCTAATGGCTGAGATGGGAGAAGTGGCCAGATGGAAGCCACTCCTGAGAAAAAGGCATGACAGCACACCTGGAGTTTGCAAAAAGTTACTTGAAAGACTCAGAGATCATAAGGCAAAATATTCTGTGGTCTAATGAGAGGGCTATGGCCTAAATGCAAAGCGCTATGTCAGGAAAAAAACACCCGTCTAACACCATCCCTACTGTGAAGCATGGTAATAATAATAATAATAATATGCCACTTAGCAGTGGCAGCATCATGCTATGGGGATGCTTTTCAGCGGCAGGGACTGGAAGACTGGTAAGGATAGAGGGAACAATGAATGGAGCCAAACACAGGCAAATCCTTGATGAGAACCTAGTTGATACAGACATACCCTAGTTGACTCAAATCTGTAATCACCGCCAAAGATGTTTCTAGAAAGTATTGACTCAGGGGTGTAAATACTTATGTAAATGAGATATATCTGTATTTCATTTTCAATACATTTGCAAAAATAATAATAATATGTTTTCACTTCGTCATTACAGGGTATTGTGTGTAGATGGGTGATAATTAATTAATTTAGAATCAATTTTGAATTCAGGCTGTAACACAACAAAATGTGGAATAAGTCAAGGGGTATGAATACTTTCTGAAGGCACTGTATACACACATTACCTACCAGAGAGATAGACACACATCACCTACCGGAGAGATTAACACAAACATAACCTAATAGAGAGATATGCACACACATCACCCAGTAAAGATATATACAAACATATTTGCAGTGTATGTTGGAAATAATATAAATACATTGACATTTGAAAGTGAAAAAGTTAATCACTTGTATTGAACATTTCTGTTTAAATAACATCAAAATGGAACAGATTTCATTTTGGCCTTGGCCATGCCAAAGCATTTTTTACACCATGTCATCATTCCACTTGTTGTTCCGGTTCTGTTCCAGATCTGCTGTGAGCTGGAGGAGTCAGCGAGCTCCTCTCTGGGGCTGGAGCCTGTGGACTGTCTCCAGGGCTCCCAGGGCTCCCAAGGCTCCCTGCAGCTCTACCACCACAAGGCCCTGGCAGACTCACCTGGAGGTCTGGGACCCCTGGTCATGGAGTTCCTCAAGGAGTTCATGGAGCGCCGGTGCCGCTTGTTAACCTGCGCCCCCACCAGCAGGACCTCCTCCACGGAGGGCGTGGCAGGCAGCGCCCCGCTGTCCCAGGGCTCCTCGGGCTTCACCGACATGTACGGCTCTGACGTGGAGAGGCTCGAGGGCCCCATTGCCGTGGCGATGCCTGGTGACGTGGGTGCCGACCTGGTGAGCCCGGACAGCGGCCTGGCAACCATCCGCAGCAGCCGCTCCTCCAAGGAGAGCTCCGTGTTCCTAAGCGATGACAGCCCGGTAGCCGAGGCAATGGCCGGGGGTTTCCTCCTGAACCCGGCACTCGGGTTCCCCTCCCTGTCCCCCATCCCGCATGAGAGGAGACACTCAAGCAGGAACAGGAGCGGCGACAACTTTGAGCTGTTCAGCTTCGACCCACTGCACTGCAGTAACGCCTCTCCACCTGCAGAAGATGCAGTGCTGCGCTCCTCTCGAGGTACAGGAGGCCATGGCAGCTCCAGCCTGTCTGAGTTTGACGAGCTGAGCATGGTGGATTTCTACACCCCTGATTCGTCAGCTGGGCATGGAGGTTTGGTGGGGAGCGACTTGATTGGGGGAGGAGCTCTGATGGACCAGAGTGTGAACAGGGTCCCTCCCACTCCTGTCAACAGCCTTGTGGGTAGCAGCACTCACAGTGGCACAGAGGTCTGCTTCTTTCCAGAGGACGTCGCTCAGAGAATCAACGGGCTGCAGCACAAAGAGAGCGTATCCTCGTCAGAGGCATGGGATGACTTTGGCTTGGATACTAAGGGCTCCACCTCAGATGACGCCAACACGTGGAGCCTGACAGAGGCTGGGTTTGTCTGCACAGATTGTCCTAACCCTGACATTGATCTGGAGGGACTGAGAGAGGACAAGGACAGCGGAGGAGGAAGAGGAGAAGGAGATGTTAGGAATGCTAAGCCGCGAGAAGAGAAGGATGTCTGTTCCAAACCAGTGGAGAGACAGCTCACCCTTGTGAATGAGTACATAGAACCCTACGAGACCTGGAACCCTGACTCAGGCTTCACAGAACCATGGCAGCCAGTGACACTGGGCGATCTGCAGCTCACTCCTCCGGACGAAGAGAACAGAGAAGGGAAGCTCCTTCAAAGTCACATCACGTGCACAGTCCCGTGTGGTAGGAAAAAAGCGAGAGGCTCTGGCCACTCTCACGCCAGAGACCTCGAAGGAGGAAGAGGATGGTCTAGTCAGGAAGGCCACAGAGCTGGACTTCTGGACCTACACAGCCCAGAAGGGATTTCTCAAATCGGACAGTGCGACCAGCACCACCAGCGTCACGACAGCGTCCTACCCAGAGTCTCTGGACCTATGGAACATGACAATCCACGAAGACAGCCAATCCACGCTCACTACCCCAGACATGGCCGACCTATCGGAGCGGTCGGACTCCTGCGGGCTCCCTGCGCTGGGAACATCCTTGGAGAGTCCACTGGGTGTGTCTAGCGAGGGGATGGACATGTGGAACACCACCATACAGGAAGACAGCGCTTCCATGGCAACCAGTCCGGAGGACGCTGGGACTGGGAGGGAGGAGCTTACTGGCATGGAGCCCTGGGAGGCAGAGCCTGGGACAGACCTAAGGCAACAGGAGGGGGAGGGGAGATATTCAGAAGAAGCCTCTCCACTACAAGAGAATGTAAAGAGGCAGGCCCAGAGAGTTCAGATAGTCATCAAAGGAGACGAGGGGAAAATATGTCCCCAATCAGGGCATGATGATCACATGATGACAGAGAATCAAATTACACAGGATCAAATTCCGGGGGCCATGCTCGTCCCCGTCCCCAACATGGTGACGTCTACCTCTGAGTATGATAACATAGGAGAAGGAGGCGTCTGGAGTCAGCCCTCCTCCCCTGACCTCCAGGCCAGCCCTGGAACAGACACTACTGAACTGATCCAAGGTCAGTCCAGCCCTTTTATAGCAGTGCTAAATCCAGAATCAAGTGGAAGCACCACTGAACATCAGGCGTCCATTGTGAAAGGCAACAGTGATTATAGCGGGTCAACAACGACAGGCATTGAACAGTTGACTGTCCAGTGTTCCACTGGCAGACAGGTGTTCCTATTCGACGGAACCTCTGGACTGGGCCACGGGACCAGAAATGGGCAGCTTCCAGTTCCAGGGGGCCACTCTGTGGAGAGCAAGTATGACAACAGAGGGCAGGGGTCTGAGGCATCGGAGGGCCCAGATTGGACAGAGGACCTGAGTAGCCATTCCCCATTCGTGCTGGTGGACGATGGCTCCTCCCCCACAGAGAGTGACGTCTTGCCTCTGAGTCACAGGGAGGAGCCAGTCACTGAGCTAAACTTTGACCAAACATGGAAAGATCCAGCCACAACCCAGACTCAACCCTCTGCAACCCCAAAGCTTGACAGTTGGGACCACCTATCCACCCCTGTTGTGAAACCAGGTGATTCTGAATCGCCACCAAATGGCGCATCATCCCTCCAGTGGACTACTAAGGTGATCTATCCGGATGGGGGACCTCATCATATGGAAGATAGTAGCACTATGGATGCTATGTCACTGAGCTCCAGCTCAGGGGAAAAAGACAGGCTCAAGCCCAGCCCAGATAGCCTTCCTCCCGGGAGCCGCGAGGATGTCAGGTCCAACTCAGACGGAGACTCCTCATCGGGCCTGGAAATGGACTACATCATTGTGTCAGGGACGGTCAGAGAGAGTGATAGAGAGAGGAAGGATGATTATAGAGAGAGGAATGTAACCAAAGACTGTGATAGAGGCAGGAGGGAGGGGTCTACATCCTTAGAGACATATAGCATGCTCTCTTATGTGGCTACTTTTCTCCAATCCGGCACAGCCTCTCACAGACATCCCGAAGAAAACAATGAGCTAAATAGGCATGATCTAACAAACATAGATATCCACAGCCCATACTGCTCAGTTGCAGGTGACAATCCTATTTCACCTATTCACACAGACGTAGACCACTCTACCGAAGCCAACGCAAATGGGATTGGTTTCTTTCAAAGCTCACACGCAACCAACCAAAGGTACTCCGAAACAGCCGCCTCTTATCTTGTAAGCCCTCAAATCCAAGTAACCACAGAGATAAGCGACCGTGGCCAATCAGACACCAATCGGTCAAGCCTCCACAAGTCAGAGATGAGAGTGGCGGGCCTCGATAGTTCGGACGTGGATGAGGACAGCTATGATGGCCAGACGAACGCCAAAGTTGTAAAAAGTAGCAGCGCCTCCCTGAGATACCCAGCAGAACAACCACTTCTTCAAAGCCAGGGAGGAGGTCTACGTCCACTCTCAGATCTCTCTGGAGGACTCAGACGAGGGCGGGCTCTCCCCCTCCGCCGCCACATGTCCCTCCCAACGGAGCCAGGCCTGGGGCTCTCTGCTGAGGGAACAAGACGACCAGCAGCGGCAGCACGCCATCCCCCAGTCTCCCCTCCCCCTCACAGACAGCTCACCATCCCCATTGGGGGACAGCTCGTTGATGGGCACTCCCGATAACCAATCAGGTGGTCCCTCTCCTGTCCAAGAGGTGGGGCTTCCGTTCTCAGGCGACCTCATGGACAAGGAGGAGGAGGAGTTTGGAATGGACCCTCCCAGTTGGGACGCAGGTGAGGAGATGGAGAAAGGAGGATGTGGGGTGATACACAGCCACACCCATGCACCAAACCCTGGGCCTACCGATGAGCTACTGGAGAATAGTGAGCATCCGTGTGGAGGTCATTTCTCAGAGGATGGAGATAGACTGACAGCACAGCCAATGATTGACAGGTTCTCGCAGGGTCAGGTTGACTTTGCAGCTGAGCAACCAATGAGAAATCAGCCCCGAAGACCTTTACAGGGCCTTGAAGACCTGTTAGTCAATCATAAAAGGGGAGGTTATGGAGATGATTTTGAAGAAGCCGACTCATCTGATCTGGGGTAAGTAATATCTATAAAGTAACATACAGTATATTGCACACTGTACAATTGTTTGCATAAATGAGAGTTATGGTGTTTCTTTGTGTATGCCCTTAGACCATCCTGCCTTTTCAATGGGTTTCGGAGTGTGTATGGGTCTCTAAACAGCTGCTGGGTATTTGTAAAGTAGCACAGACTGTGGAAGCAGAGTTAAAAGCTCTCAGGAGAGTGAGATGGTGTGTTCTATGTGAGAGAAGAATGGGGTGGGTGGAGGGGGTAGAGAGGGGATATTGCACCCGTGTGGCCTCATACCCCTCTCCAGCATGAACAGAGCTTTTGAAGATGAAACAAGGGATCCCTGTGTGTGTGTGTGTGTGTTTGTTGCGCCAGACTTTGATCTCAGCCCTGGGTGTGTTTATAAATCTGTTTACGCCTCATTAAATATGCATTACCTGCCTCATTACAGATGTATCCCCACCACAGCTAATGGAGCCAGCTCCCCTCTGTCTTACACAAGGTGTGTGTGAGAATCTGTATTTGCACTCTTTAGTGGACATGAGAATGACTGACAGTCAGTGATTATTACATGTTTGCTATGTATTTTCATCTGTTTTGTAATTTTTCTCCCTTCAGACTTGAAGATGTTGCAACCCAGCCTTGGAACCAGCAATCCAGCGAGAGTGTTCCTCACCAGTGGACAGCAAGTCAGGACCAAGCCAACAACAGTTACACCCAGTATGGATATGGCCACACTGACCACCACACACATACTGATCATCCATCTGTGGACTACCATGAGACTGAAGACCATGCCTACCACCAAACCCACGACCATGCTGAAGATAAGAGAGATGATGGCCTCAGCCAACACTATGAGGCTAAAGGACATACTTCTACTTCCTACTACTACCATACTGAAGGCAATGGCCAAGACCGGTCTGATGACTATAGCCATTATGAGAGTGAAGGCCAGGCCCACTGGGAGGCTGAACGTCAAGACCACTCCAGAACTCCTGAAGAGCCAAATGACCCCACGGGCAACGCTAAGTGTCTTCTTGAAGACCATGCCCATTATGAGACTGAAGAGCAGACCCAGTATGTTCCTGATGACTATGCCCACTTTCTACTCTCCAGGTACGTTCTTTACTAGCCTCCTCCTAGATCTGTTTGTGCTGTCTTGGTTGGCATGGAAATGACCATAGGAGTACAAACATATCTAGGACCAATTACAATTCCATATTTTAACAGATCTGAGTTTAAATAGTATTTGTTGTCTTTTGAGAATCCCTCAAGTATTCAGTATCTAATTCTTAATTTTTTTCCCCAACCTTTATTGACTACATTAGAATAGGCTGGAGACTAGGGAGGAGACATTGAGCTGCAGTATTGTGTATTACCACAGGAGTGCAGTACAGATTCATACTGAACCAATAGGACAACAGTGTGATAGTGTGTGATGGTGGTCCCGAGTCGAGGTGTATGTTTGGGACTGTGTTTTAGTGATGGGGTAAAAAATCAAGACATTTACATATTGGGATATTATTTTTGACGCTATATCGTATTGTTTTGTTTTGACAATATCACAATATTATTTTTGCGCTAGTTGGCTGTACCTGCACCAAAACAGTATTTTTCCTTCATAGCTTGTTCTCCATCTTCTTTTTAAATAAGGAGCCAATTTGTTTTCAGCACTTTTATTTCCATGACTGATCAAAACTCGTTATCTCATAGCTCTCTCTTGTCCCTCTGCAGCAGACATACAGTTGAAGTCAGAAGTTTGCATAAACTTAGGTTGGAGTCATTAAATCTCGTTTTTCAAACACTCCACAAATTTCTTGTTAACAAACTATCGTTTTGGCAAGTCATTAGGACATCTACTTTGTGCATGACACAAGTACTTTTTCCAACAATTGTTTACAGACAGATTATTTCACTTATAATTCACTGTATCACAATTCCAGTGGGTCAGAAGTTTACATACACTAAGTTGACTGTGCCTTTAAACAGCTTGAAAAATTCCAGAAAATGATGTCATGGCTTTAGAAGCTTCTGATAGGCTAATTGACATCATTTGAGTCAATTGGAGGTGTACCTGTGGATGTATTTCAAGGCCTAACTTCAAACTCAGTGCCTCTTTGCTTGACATCATGGGAAAATCAAAAGAAATCAGCCAAGACCTCAGAAAAATAATTGTAGACCTCCACAAGTCTGGTTCATTCTTGGGAGCAATTTTCAAACACCTGAAGGTACCACATTCATCTGTACAAACAATAGTACGCAAGTATAAACACCATGGGACCACGCAGCCGTCATACCGCTCAGGAAGGAGACGCGTTCTGTCTCCTAGAGATGAACGTACTTTGGTGTGAAAAGTGCAAATCAATCCCAGAACAACAGCAAAGGATCTTGTGAAGATGCTGGAGGAAACAGGTACAAAAGTATCTATATCCACAGTAAAACGAGTCCTATATCGACATAACCTGAAAGGCCGCTCAGCAAGGAAGAAGCCACTGCTCCAAAACCGCCATAAAAAAGCCAGACTACGGTTTGCAGCTGCACATGGGGACAACGATCGTACTTTTTGGAGAAATGTCCTCTGGTCTGATGAAAGAAAAATATAACTGTTTGGCCATAATGACCATCGTTATGTTTGGAGGAAAAAGGGGGTAGCTTGCAAGCCGAAGAACACCATCCCAACCGTGAAGCACGGGGGTGGCAGCATCATGCTGTGGGGGTGCTTTGCTGCAGGAGGAACTGGTGCACTTCACAAAATAGATGGCATCATGAGGAAGGAACATTTTGTGGATATATTGAAGCAACATCTCAAGACATCAGTCAGGAAGTTAAAGCTTGGTCGCAAATGGGCCTTCCAAATGGACAATGACCCCAAGCATACTTCCAAAGTTGTGCCAAAATGGCTTAAGGACAACAAAGTCAAGGTATTGGAGTGGCCATCACAAAGCCCTGACCTCAATCCTATAGAAAATGTGTGGGCAGAACTGAAAAAGCATGTGCGAGCAAGGAGACCTACAAACCTGATTCAGTTACACCAGATCTGTCAGGAGGAATGGCCCAAAATTCACCCAACTTATTGTGGGAAGCTTGTGGAAGACTACCCGAAACGTTTGACCCAAGTTAAACAATTTAAAGGCAATGCTACCAAATACTAATTGAGTGTATGTAAACTTCTGACCCACTGGGTATGTGATGAAAGAAATAAAAGCTGAAATAAATCATTCTCTCTACTATTATTCTGACATTTCACATTCTTAAAATAAAGTGGTGATCCTAACTGACCGAAGACAGGGAATTTTTACTAGGATTAAATGTCAGGAATTGTGAAAAACTGAGTTTAAATGTATTTGGCTAAGGTGTATGTAAACTTCTGACTTCAACTATATAATGAGCAATATGTTTGGAACATCGAATCGCAATAAAATCACACTACCAAATTGCAATACATATAGAATCGTGAGAATCGCAATACATATTGTATCGGCACCTAAGTATCGTGATAATATCGTATCGTGAGGTCCCTGGCAATTCCCAGCCCTAGTGTGTTTACATGTATGTGTTTTTGAGGCTGTGTCATTGCCCCAAATTTACATGTTGGTGTTTTATTGTTTTTCCATGTTGCAGGATCAGTAATGGATCAGTTTAATCTATTTGATTCCCATTGCATGATGTATCTCACTCTGTGTGTGAGTGTTTTGTGAGTGATAGTAGCAGCTCACTATCTAGTGTAGCCCAGAGCCTCATATTTGAATATCCAGAATGGTTATTCCAGAAGTATTACTCAACAATTATTACTTACTCTCAACCTCACAATTTAAATGTAGAATTTCCATTGCTTTTTAGTCTAGAATTTGGCTTAATCTGTGTCCAGGAAACCGACCTTACAGGTGTGTGTTTTTATTTTCAGTACAGTCTTTAATTTGTGTTGGATTTACATCATGCAGTTTGTCTTGATCCACACATGTTTTTAATTGAATAATATTGCATAAGGACCTCCAAGCATTTCTATTTCCTCAACATTTTGGGGGGGTTATTTGCATCTCAAGGTTTCACTGTAGAACCAGATTGCTGAAGTATTCAACTGTGTGTGTGTGTACTTCTCTCTCTCTCTCTCTCTCTCTCTCTCTTTACATTTACATTTTACAGCTACTTACAGTTAGTGAGTGCATACATTTTTCATACTGGCCCCCCGTGGGAAACGAACCCACAACCCTGGCGTTGCAAGTGCCATGCTCTACCAACTGAGCTACAGGGGACTCTTACTCTCTCTCACTCACTCACTCACTCACTCACTCACTCACTCACTCACTCACTCACTCACTCACTCACTCACTCACTCACTCACTCACTCACTCACTCACTCACTCACTCACTCACTCACTCACTCACTCACTCACTCACTCACTCACACATACACACAAATTCCTCTGTGGGATGGGCCACTTATTAGGTAGTCCTGACCTCTGTTGCTTGGCAACTGTCCCATTAATGTGGATGCGCTCCCAAGCAATGGAGTTGGCTCCATTCCAATCTATGCTCCAGAATGGGCCACATGTCATATCATACTACAGTGTATTTATTATGTCTATGTGACTGTGTGACAACTCTACATGCAAATTCCAACATTCTATGTGCTTAGATGTACACTCCCTTGAATAGGCAGTGTTTCAAATGGAGAGCAGTTTCAGTGAGATTAACTTTAGGTTGTTCTCTTATGAAGTGTTTACTCCATTTTTTGGTGCGTGTCTGTGTGTGTGTTCGGTAATTTTTTTCCTCTGCCCCAGTTGCACTCCCACTGGGCACAGACGTCAATTCAACGTTGATTCAACCAGTGTGTGCCCAGTGGGTTGTGGATGTTTGTCTTGCCTTGTCGCCCCTCTTTGTAATTCAAATGACTCCTCCCCTCTTTGGTTACAGGGGGATAAGTATGAACCCTCCCCCTATTTGTGTGTGTGTGTGTGAATAATTGTGATTGAGGTCTGTTTGCTGTCCTGTTCATGAGAAAGCGGGGAACTAACTTCTAAATAGATCCAATGTATTTTTGACAATTAAGTTCATTGTGACAATCTTGTTTTTTAACTATATTTTTTGGAGGCTGACATTGAGTCTAAGTTTAGAATGAGTAGTGGACAAATGTAACTAAACATAGCTTAATATATTTTATACTTAATTTGTGTTTATTTTGACACGCTCTGCACTCTGCGACAGCTGAGCATCTCAGAGGGAGGTCACATGACTCCAATATGACGAATGAGGGACCGAGTCCCTTATGCTGAAAGAGACAGAAAAGAAAGAAACAGAGAGGCTGAAACAGCCATAAAGACAGGCAAAGTGTGAAAGATAAAGAAAACAAGAGTTGGGGAAGAGAGAGAAAATTGTGTGGCATCCCAGTTGACAGGAGAGCAGCACAGATATCACCTGGTTGTCTGGGAAGAGGTGAGTTTGTAGAGCATCTCTGCATCTTTTTTGGAGAGAATTTCACCAACAACAACAACTCTCTTTAGATTAGAAGCAATTGGTTAGTTGTTAGTATATTTTCGTCCTATTGTTAGGAAAGCTGGGTATGTTGGAAAGTGTGTGCATGCGTGAGTGCGTGTGAGTCTTTGTCTAACTCCCCATTGTTAATGGGAGTTATGCTAATAAGGGTCTGGGGGTGCGGCTTGGAGGCTAATAAAAAAGGTTGTATTGTCCCTGGTCCACGTGCATTTAGTGATTCTTTCTCTTGCTTTGTGGTCAATTATTTACAAACAAATTATTGGAAGTGTTTGTTCATATATTGAATTGTGTCAAACACATTTTCTTGAAAGTGTTTTAATTCCTCAATTGAGTAGAGTCCATGGTTGTTTTATTCATGACTGGATTATTGTGTGTTTTTGGGTAGGCCTGCTTCAGACGATGCTGGGATGATGGCCTCAAATGAAGACGACACAGATGGGTTGGAAAACAGACCAGGTTATACACATACACATGCACCAGGCACACACTTTTCAACACACTTTTCAACACACTCAAGAAAATACTGCATCTGTGCAGTCACAGTTGTCATTGATCTGTGGGTCTAAATACTTTCTCTTGACCAATGGTGCGAGTGGGACATGGAATATCTATGTGACAACCAACGCCACTAGCATCCTGCTACCAATTTGTGGTAGATAGATTTACACTCAAATAAGAAGTTATTATCTCATCTCATAGTCATTCTAGTGTATCAATGTCTCTAAAGGTATTGCTATCTATCCTCTCCACTAATGCTATTTTTTAAAATGATGTAAATTGGTCTTGCATCACCACTTACTGATCATGAATTCAAGAACTTATGAGGAAATATTCATTAGCATACAGAGAAACATATCACTAACATATTGTGAACATTTGCCTTAGATCCCCCTTCCTCACTGGAGCTGAATGGGGCCAGTGTCCCACCCAGGAAGAAGCTGGTGGCCCCGCCCATGAACGTGTCTCTGGACCGCAGCGAGGGCTCCGTCCTCTCTGACGACGCCCTGGATACGGCTGACGACGCCTTGGATACGGGCGATGATCTGGACATCAACTTGGACGAGCTGGACACACCTGACGAGGCCGACTCCCTGGAGTTCAACGGACTAGGTGAGACACATACACACACATGCATATACACACACATGCTCATTATACACACATGATACAGACAGACAGACAGACGGACAGACAGACAGACAGACAGACTAAAACAACCATGGACTCTACTCAATTGTTTGACACAATTCAATATATGAACAGACACTTTCAATAATTTGTTTGTAAATAATTAACCACAAACAATAGAGAAAGACTCACATGCAGCACAGGACAAAGTAAGACACCCATACACTCACCCACACATGTCGAGCAAGGTGTATTTGCATTTTTTTTTTCATGAGATGAAGTGAACACTGAAGTCTACTGAAGACTCGTCTAGCTGTATTCATATGCTTCATCATGATGTGTGTGAGTTAGGCCATTAGATATATAATTATTTTACCAACAGGTGACCCCCAGGGGTCCAATCAGGAAACAGACAGGGAGCCTAGCGAGGCTATCCCAGAATACAGTGCAGAGGAGGAGCGACAGGACGCCAAACTGTGGAGGACAGTCGTCATCGGGGAGCAGGAGCACCGCATCGACATGAAGTGTATTGAGCCTTACCAAAGAGTCATCTCTCATGGAGGTACAAACACACACACACACTCCAAGTCGGATTGAAGTCAGTCAATTCAGGAAATAAACAATAAAATAAAATGGCATCCATTTTTAATGATTTTCCCAATCAATTGAAAAGGAGAAGCTATTACGTTTTTAAATGTTTGCATTTTTAATTCAAATCACTTCCTGAATTGAGTGCCTTCAATTTCAATTGACCCCAACCCTGACACACACAGACACACCTTTGCATTGAATAGCCTGTGAGTATTCAGTAGACGCCTCCTCTTGATGGGCCCACCCCATCTCCTCCCTCTCCACAGGTTACTATGGTGACCTGAATGCCATCATCGTGTTTGCAGCGTGTTTCCTACCTGACAGTAACTGTGATGATTATCATTACGTCATGGAGAACCTCTTCCTGTAAGTGCTACTGCTATTGATTGTGATCAAGTCATGGATCCATAAGCATATCATGCATGTACTGTATCATCATGTATCATAATGCTCTCAACAGTATTGTGTGTGTGTGTTCAGGTATGTGATCAGCACTCTGGAGCTCATGGTTGCTGAAGACTACATGATTGTGTATCTGAATGGAGCCACACCCCGCAGGAGGATGCCTGGACTAGGTTGGATGAAGAAGTGCTACCAGATGATTGACAGGAGGTAACAAGTCTCACACACAAACACACACACACACACACATTTGTTTTTCTATCCTTGTGAGGACCAAACAATTGATTCCCATTCAAAATCCTATTTTCCCTAACCGCTAACCCTAACCCTAAACCTTTAACCTAACCCTAACCTTAAAGAAGTTTACCCAAAATCCAGAAACTCTCAAGTGATTCCATACATTGAAACTACTGCTGCATTTGCCATCTCCCCCCTCTCTCCCTGTAGTGCTGTACTGAAACAGCTGCAAAAACGGGTCACGTGACTTGTGACGTTGTTGGATGCAGGCCTCACTATGCTCTGTTGCCAGTGAATTCATGATTCAGAAATCTGTGAAGTTTGGACAAATTCATTGTTTTATTGAAAGCATATGGCCAAAAGAGCAATTTTTGTCAAAAGTACCAACAGTTTTGAGTTAGGAAATGTGTACTTTTCCACCTAAAACTTTTGCGATCATTTTATGTAGCCGACTGCCACAGCAGCCAGATGTGTAACAACTGTGCATGTGTGCTCTCGGGGGAATCCCTGCTACGTAGAAACTGCACGTTATGCCCTTATTCACAGATGCACGTTTTATTCGGCGGAGAAGTGAAGACAGGGTTACACATTAGTTATACAAAGTAAACAACAACCTACAAATACTGTAGCTCAGATGGTAGAGCATCGCGCTTGTAATGCCAGGGTTGTGGGTTCGTTTCCAATGGGGGGCCAGTATGAAAATGTATGCACTCACTATCTGTAAGTCGCTCTGGATAAGAGCTGCTAAATGACTAAAATATAAAATGATTAAACACTTGCGATTGATGAAGAAAACTACTGAAGGGGTGCCAATGTTGTCGTCGAACCGTATTTACAATGTATTTGAGCCTGAGTTTTCGGATGAAGAATTTAGACAAATTGAGCTTCAGATGGTCGCCTCCCTCTAGCCACCAAAGCTGCAGCAGTTGTTTCAATGTATGGAATCACTAGGGAGTTTCTTTTTGGGGGGGTAAACTCCTCCTTTAACCCCTAACCCGAAACCTAACCCAAATCCCTAATTCTAACCCTAACCCTAATTGTGACCCTAAACCTCTAAAATAGCCTTTTTCCTTGTGGGGACCCGCAAAATGTCCCCTTGTTTTACTATCCTTGTGAGGACTTCTGGTCCCCACAAGCATAGTAAACCAAAAATACACACACACACACACACACATGCATACAGTACATACAGACTCATGCTTCAATTCTCACTAACTCTTGTTTTCTTTTGTGTTTTCATGTCTCATGTCAGGCTCAGGAAGAATCTGAAATCCTTTATCATTGTCCATCCGTCATGGTTTATCCGAACAGTGTTGGGAATCATCAGACCCTTCATAAGGTGGAGATACCCATGCTTTCTCACACATTTTACAGAAGAGCCCTGAATTACAGAAAATTACCAAAATACAAACATTAAATATGAAATGCAAACAGAAACAAAACACGGTCATAAAAAAAAAAAAAACATTATTCAGTAATAAGGTCCTCAATCAGGAATCTGAATTGCCCTAGAGGCACAAATACATCTAATTTAAGAGAATTTTGAAGATTGTTCCACAAATACGGTGCAAATAAGATGATTTACTTAACTCTGTAAAGACCGAAGGAATTTCCAGAGTTAGCCATCCCTGAAACCGGGTGTGGTAACTCATTTGTCTAAAGGTTATTAATGATGTACAGCGGGATTTTTGTAAAAGAGCTTTATAAATTAAAAGACAATGTATCATACCAGATACCAGAGTTTAGTAAGATGGTGTCACATACAATGGCCTACATTGTTCCGGTTGAATGATATGTAGAGTATTTTGAGTTAGTTACCCATGTATTATACGAGAACTTTGTTTATGTAAGGCGGATTTTAAACTGGTTGAGTGACTTTATATCTCCCTGATATTTCATAAAAAATATTAAGATCTGTTTTTATGTTTCAATTAAGAGTTACAAGTAAGCTATCAAAGTGCATTTGGAAAGTATTCAGCCCCCTTGACTTTACAACAAGTATTCAGACCCTTTACTCAGTACTTTGTTGAAGCACCTTTGGCAGCGATTACAGCCTCGAGTCTTCTTGAGTATGACGCTACAAGCGTGACACACCATTATTTGGGGAGTTTCTCCCATTCTTCTCTGCAGATTCTCTCAAGCTCTGGCAGGTTGGATGGGGAGCGTCGCTGCACAGCTATTTTCAGGTCTCTCCAGAGATGTTAGATTGGGTTCAAGTCCGGGCTCTGGCTGGGTCACTCAAGGACATTCAGAGACTTGTCCCAAAGCCACTCCTGCATTGTCTTGGCTGTGTGCTTAGGATCGTTGTCCTGATGGAAGGTGAAATTTGCCCCAGTCAGAGGTCCTGAGCGCTCTGGAGCAGGTTTTCATAAAGGATCTCTCTGTACTTTGCTCTGTTAATCTTTTCCTCAATCCTGACTTGTCTCCCAGTCCCTGCTGCTGAAAAACATCCCCACAGCATGATACTGCCACCACCGTGCTTCACCGTAGGGATGGTGCCAGGTTTCCTCCAGACGTGACGCTTGGCATTTAGGCCAAAGAGTTCAATCTTGGTTTCATCAGACCAGAGAATCTCGTTTCTCATGGTCTGAGAGTCCTTTAGGTGCCTTTTGGCAAACTCCAAGCGGGCTGCCATGTGCCTTTTTACTGAGGAGTGGCTTCCGTCTGGCCACTCTACCATAAAGGCCTGATTGGTGGAGTGACGCAGAGATGGTTGTCCTTCTGGAAGGTTCTCCCATCTCCACAGAGGAACTCTGGAGCTCTGTCAGAGTGACCATCGGGTTCTTGATCACCTCCCTGACCAAGGCCCTTCTCCCCCGATTGCTCAGTTTGGCCGGGCGGCCAGCTCGGAAGAGTCTTGTTGGTTCCAAACTTCTTCCATTTAAGAATGATGGAGGCCACTGTGTTCTTGGGGACCTTCAATGCTGCAGAAATGTTTTTGTACCCTTCCCCAGATCTGTGCCTCGACACAATCCTGTCTCTGCGCTCTACGGACAATTCCTTCGACCTCATGGCTTGGTTTTTGCTCTGACATGCACTGTCAACTGTGGGACCTTATACAGACAGGTGTGTGCCTTTCCAAATCATGTCCAATCAATTGAATTTACCACAGGTGGACTCCAATCAAGTTGTAGAAACATCTCAAGGATGATCAATGGAAACAGGATGCACCTGACCTCAATTTCGAGTCCCATAGCAAAGGGTCTGAATACTTATGTAAATAAGGTATTCGTGTTTTTTAATGTCCAAAGAAATGTCTCAAAAACTGTTTTCAGTTTGTCATTATGGGGTATTGTGTGTAGATTGATGAGTAAAACATATATTTAATCAATTTTAGAATAAGCATGTGGAAAAAGTCAAGGGGTCTGAATACCTTCCGAATGCACCGTATAACAAGTAATAATGCATTTGATCAACCTGTCAGCTTTAAGTTAAGTGTCACCAAAAGTTGTTCTTCTATCATGCCTTTGTCTTGCACCCCACTATTCTCTGCCACCAATCCACCTTTCTCACAACTGCTCTATCTCTCTCTCTCTCTCTCTCTCTCTCTCTCTCTCTCTCTCTCTCTCTCTCTCTCTCTCTCTCTCTCTCTCTCTCTCTCTCTCTCTCTCTCTCTCTCTCTCTCTCTCTCTCTCTCTCTGTCTCTGTCTCTGTCTCTGTCTCTGTCTCTGTCTCTGTCTCTCTCTCTCTCTCTCGCTCTCTTCTCTCGCTCTCTCTGCAGTTCTAAGTTCAGCAGTAAGATAAAGTATGTGAACAGCCTGGCGGAGCTACGAGAGCTAATTCCAATGGAGTATGTGAACATCCCTGAGAGCATTATCAAGTGAGTGTGTGTGAAGATATTGTGAGCATGAAGATAAAGTAACAACACACACACCCACATGGAATGAGAGTGGAATGAAGTTCCACCACTTTAGTTTGGGAAACGGTGTGATCAGACTAGATTTCTGTAAAAAATATCTTAGAAAAGTAGCCAATTTGGGGGATAAACTTTACAGCACCTGATACATTGCGTTTGCATAAGATCACACTGACATTCTGTAATACAACCTTTTAAAACGTGACAATGTTTAGAGCCACACTGGTACAAAACATTGTCACTATTAAAAGGTGGTATGAGGAGGATAATAGTGTGGTGTGGGCCTTTTTTGTCATTTTCAACAACTTTTTTTCTCATTTTTGGGGGGAACCATAAAATCAGTGTAAAATGTTGCACTACTGCCTGTTATTGAGGGGGATAGACTGAGGGGACATTCAATCGAGGCCAGGGATAGGCAACAGATGCTGATTTGAAAGGAAAATAACAAAATCCAGCACGATATCGTCTTCCAAGTTGCCTATACCTGTTCTACATCAACTTGCCATGTTGTCATTGTAGCTAAGAATTTGTCCTTAAAGGAATATTTCAGTATTTTGGCAATGAAGCCCTTTATCTAATTCCCCAGAGTCAGATGGACTGGTGGATACCATTTTTATGCTTCTGCGTCCAGTTTGAAGGAAGTTGCTAACTAGCGTTAGCATGCTAGTAGATACCATAGACCTCCAGTCATTGCGCTAACGCTAGTTAGCACTGGCTCGCAAAACGACCTCTAACTTCCTTCATACTGGATGCAGAGACATAAAAACGGTATCCATGAGTTCATCTGACTCTGAGGAAGTAGATAAAATCGTGAAGTATCCCTTTAAACTCAAATGGTTAAATTAAGCTTAATTAAAAATAGTCAGACAGGTGGAAGGAAATTATTGGATGAGAGCAGCAAGAATGCATGTGTAGACTACTAAGACATTTGGATGATTTCTCATTGACTTGTAGAGAGTCAAAGGAGACCTGCTGTATCCTCTGTAACCTGGACACTGTCATTGGAGACGTGTGAAAGACAGAATAGAGCTGAGGCATAATAACCCTGGGATTGTTCCTGTGCTGAGTTGAGGGAAACAGAGCCATAGTGGTTGGTTGGGAGGGAGGATGAATCCTCTGTGTCTTGTGTCCACTCCCTAACTGTAACCCTCCTGCCTCTCTCCGCTCCCGTCTAAGGTACGAAGAGGAGAGGGGTATACAGACATTTGCATGTATGAGGTAAACTCAAAAGGTCTGCCTGTGTTGGTTGAGTTCCCTTACCCCCCCTCCAAACCCTTTCCTAATATCCCGTATTTTCAGACTGGCCCTACCTCCTGGTACTAACACCCCTCCCCCCATACGCCCAGGTTGATTTGATCTGATGACCTCACCCACAGTCTGTGTGATATGTAAGAATGTGTCCTGTCTGTCCCGTCCTGTGATTGGTTGTTTCTGCTCTCTGCATGAGGGATTTTTTTTCTCTATTTGATGATCAACTTGTTTGACCTCTTTGGGACTCCTTTACCCATAATCCACCCCAACTGACCGTAGACCCCTGCCTACAGTTCGGTGCGTTGAAAGGTTAGGTCGCGGCACGGTATTGGCAGAACAATTGTCGCAAAGCATGGGTAACTGCACCAGTGGTGTTTTCTAAGTGTGGGAACATGTTACATTTTAATATCCCAATGTGAATTCAATAAATACTCAACAATGTTTTACGATAAATTAATTAATGCAACTTTGATCAAACTTTTGAATTATTATTATTTTTCATTTTATTTATATTTTACCCCTTTTTCTCCCCAATTTCGTGGTATCCAATTGGTAGTTACATTCTTGTCCCATCGCTGCAACTCCCGTACGGACACGGGAGAGGCGAAGGTCGAGAGCTGTGCATCCTCCGAAACACAACCCAACCGAGCCGCACTGCTTCTTGACACAATGCCCGCTTAACCCGAAAGCCAGCCACACCAATGTGTCGGAGGAAACACCATACACCTGGTGACCGTGTCAGTGTGCACTGCGCCCGGCCCGCCACAGGAGTTGCTAGTGTGCGATGGCACAAGAACATCCCTGCCGGCCAAACCCTCCCCTAACCTGGACAACGCTTGGCCAATTTTGCGCCGCCCCATGGGTCTCCTGGTTGCTGCCGGCTGCGACAGAGCCTGGACTCGAACCAGGATCTCTAAACTTTGATGAAACTTACTCGACAAACATTCAATTGTGCTTGCTGCTACAAGGAACTCTCCTTCATCCAGGCACAGGTGTCAAAAAAACTTTTCAGCGGGCACAACTGTATCTTTCTAGCATTCTCCGTTCCCTTCCTAACCCTCTTAACCCCTTATAGCCCAGATGTACTGACCTAACTGCATGCGTACTGACAGTGCGCTTTACCCCTTGTTGTGTTTCTTATCCTTTACTAACTTTTAACCTTTGACCCTGATCCAGACTGGATGAAGAATTACAGGAGGAAGCGACTAAGTAAGAGTGCATATGTGTCTGTGTGTGTTTGTGTGTGATGTGGTTTGTGTGTCATTGGTTGGTTTTTTACTGTATGTATCGTACATTTACAGTAAATGTATTTAGGTCGAAGCCTTTTTCCATCTAAGGTTGGAGCACTAATATAAAATCCCCTCAGCCAGCTCACGAGACAAGAGCCCTAATGTCAATGTTATCTAACACTGAAGGCTCAACGGGAACAAGGAACAAGCTACAAGCTAAACCATTTGCATGTGAGGAATTCCTTGAAGGCATAGTCTCTGCCTCTCTCACACGGATCCCCTTGAAGTTCCCTCTTATAACCAATGACGACATATCCCTCTTGACATAGGTTAACATTCTCACAAAACACTATGCCCATACTATAGTCATTTACCAGACGCGCTTATCCAGAACGACTTACAGGAGCAATTATGGTAAAGTACCTTGCTCAAGGGCACAGCGACAGACTTTTCACCTAATCGGCTCGGGGATTCGAACCAGCAACCTCTTGTTACTGGCCCAGTACTCTTAACCGCTAGGCTACCTGCCACCTAGTCTAATGAAGATACTGTCTCCCCCCCCCCCTCTCTCTCTTTCTCACAGAGTGGATAAGAGAGTGAACTCTGGTGTTTGATCATTCCTTGGTGCCTGCTACCCATTTGTCCCTTGCCATATGACCCTGCGGTTTAGAGTTGACTGCACACACCTGTGGTGAAGAGGAGGGACTATTCTACCATGTATGATACCTTATTACTCTGTCCCCGCTTGAAAGAGGCACAGAAGCAAGAACCCAGGAAGTCCTCAAGTTATGATTTCTTCGCAGGCAGTGTTCAACACAACAGATAACGCATAAACTGTAGCTTTTGGCAGCGAGTAAGCATGAGTATTTAAAGGGGAACTGACACATGTAATGGGGATTGAGAGTTTTTGAAAGAAATTGGATTTCATTTAAACTAACATGTTTTCGAAATGTAATAAATTGTTTAAAACCTGTCAATCAGTCAATCACTAAGTTATTTTCCAGACTCATAAGGTTGTGCCCATATACAGTTGGGGGCATTAAAAATGTACTTATTCAAAATTATTTTGCTGCAGCAACGATACACTGTTAATGTGACAAACTCTCTCAGGGTGATGCCAAGCACCAAGTTTATTAACTATAATCGACCAATAACCCCTGTAATGAAATACATTTCAGAAAACTATTAATACAAACTCCCTATTTACAAATCACATTGTTTATTTAATAATGAAAGTAAAACTACAATCAGAATATGAAGGTAAGAGGATTTAAATTAACTTAAATAATATTTAGATCAGAAATCACCAGGAAATGTAAAAGTTTGATAGAACTTCCTGAGTTATTTATCTAAAAGAAAACCTCTATCTAGGATGACATTAAGAAGGATGAGACAGAGATGGCACCATAAAAGTTTTGATTTGGCTCCCAATGCAGATATATTGTACTTCCTGATGACTTGAGATTCATGACATCACTGTCTTATCCTTCTTTATCTCATTCTAGAAATAGAAAATACAGGTTAGAAACTTTGTATCACATTTCAGAAGATACAAATGATTTGCTTTAGTGTATTTCTGCGAGTGCCTTATGTCTAAGATGCTCCTCCACACCACTTTAACATAGGTACCATGGCACGGCAGATACACTGCAGAGCTGGCGTCCTCTTCCCCCTCATACCACGGCCACTTCACCAGCCTATCGATGGCGTGCATGTCCGTCAGGTCGAACGTGGGGCTGGGGTGCATGGAGCCGGGCACGCTGGGAAGCCTCTGAATGGTAGCCCACAGGAACTCATCGGGAGTCAAAGTGTCATTAGCCCACTGGATCAGAGCCAGCACCTTGCTGTCCTCAGCACAGCATACACCCCCTATTCACCACCATGTACACTCCACTTGACCAGATGGGTACACCGAAGGGGGGAGGAGCTTTGTCCTGCTCTGTTCCTTGAATTTTGCCATTAACAACCTGCTGCAACTTCTTCCAGTGGACCTCCTTACCTCTGGCCATGGACTCTGACTTCATGCTGTTTCCCACAGGCTGCGCACCATCTCCTGGTTGGTCTTGATAGGGAAGTCCTGGCCACAGAGGTTGATGAAATACTTCCAGTGCGGGCTATCCCTGTACAGATAACTTATACAATTGATGTCAGCCTGGACGCGACTCCAGCTCACATACACCACACTTACCGGATGGCTGGCCAAGAAAACATTGTCAAAGCAGGACGTGATGTCTATGATGGAAGGAAGAAAGGACGCTTTGGCCTTCATGTCCACGTGGATGCAGTATATGTTTTTGGGGGCGAGCAGCCTCTTGAAGTTTTCCACGTTGTGGTGGACGACCAGCGAGAATGCCAGGGGGAAGTGCTCCTCCTCACGACTCAGGGGGAACTCCAGGTACTTGTGTGTGGACCTGAACCTCTGACAGTCCCTGGTCAGCTCCAGGTACAGTAGTGTTCGTCCGGGACCTGCGTGCTGTTGAGG